TTTAGGGTTTAGGGTTCAGGGAAATCGCAAAAGGCTTCAGGGTTCAAGGCTGTCTGCTGACCCTTAGGGCTTTTTTAAGATTTCAGGGTTAAACGCTTTATAATGACTCATAGGGCTTCGGGGTTTGGCGACGATTCAAAAAGACATGGTCAAGCAAAGATCATGCTGAAGAAAGCCTGGGTCTGCTTAAAGCCTCATCCACGAGCTTCGCAAAGCTCTCCAACTTTGCTGTGGCCCGGATACTCAAGGACTCATCGGCAATGACATCCATCAAGGTTGCAACCAGGATGGCAATCAACTGGCTCAGGATGCTCTGATAATCTGACTCACACTGCAGTCGAACCCCGTTAGGCTTCTCAAGTGCGCCTGATTTTGAGAAGCCGTCATGGCGATCCAGTGGTCGCAAGGCTGAGTTTGCATAAAAGCAACAGAACATCAGGCCAGCGTATGAGAAAGTCGGAGACGAAAAGTACACGAACAAGGCAAGAAACTCAAAAGCGAAGTAGATTGAAAGGAAAAGTGCTGCGGCAACATCCCAGCCCACGAAAGCTTTCAGAGAGCCGCAGGTGCCGACCGTGAGGGTCCCCAACAAGGAGCCAAAGGCAACTCCCATGAAACGGTCCATGTTCTTCTTCAGTGCGGCTGCCTGATTTCCACCCTGGAAGATTAAATAGGCCACCGTGCCTGCCGGAGTGGCATTGAAGGCAGGCACGAAGGAACCAGTCTGCATCCCGATCCCAAACCATCCAATCACGAAGCAGAGCGTGAAAGTCACCGACAGCTTCCTCTCTTCTTCAACAACCAGGNNGCCCAAAAAAGTTAAAACTTTTTAGGGTAGACCTAATATATAAGGCCAAAAAGGTTCAAAGTTCTCCCATTGGCTATCTAAGCTTCAGGCAGTTCATCACGGCCTTCCACGTCTGCAAATCGGCTCCTGGAAGCGCCCGAAGACCTATACACCCTAAACCCTAAACCCTAAACCCTAAACCCTAAACCCTAACAAATCGGCTCCTGGAAGCGCCCGAAGACCTAAGAGAAATCCCCGACAGGGCCCAACGGCCACCTCTGAAGCCTCGAATTCCGCCATGGCAATCAGCAGATCCGCCACCTTCTGGCTGTATCCCGAAGCACTGGAGGCCAGAGCAAACCTGGGTCCCTGTTGGAGCTATATTAAAAACTATCATTTTTAAGCCTTATTAGGTTTTATTATGACAAAAATGTAAGATTGTATCCAACAAGGACCCAGTTATGAGTTCGGGGACCTTCGGGAACTCCTTAAGCCCTTAAAGGAGCCCTTAAAGGAACCCCTCAAAAGAGCCCTTCAAAGAGCCCTTAAAGGAGCCCCAAAGGACCCCAGTGCGTTCTGCCGCGAGCCTCACCCTAAACCCTAAACCCGAGCCTTGAGGGTGTGTCCGACGACCGTCATGGCCATCTCCCCCCCCTGGCAAGGTCTGCTATCTAAGCTTGAACCCATGGGCTCCTAGTATGGGCCCTTAACCCTGGGATCCTTTTTCCCCGACTACTGTATATACCGTTATATACCCTATATGTACCCTTAAGGGTCCCTAGAAAGGCCTAGGGGTCCATATTAGGGGCCGAAACTTCCAAAACCCTATGCTAACGCTGCCATAGGGGCCGGAAGAATTGGACTGGGGCTGGTTAGGGGTTTAGGTTTAGGGTTTAGGGAGGTTCTGTGCCACAGAAAGGGATTCGGGAATCTTCAGAAACAGTATTGCTAGTTACAGCCCTAGCGAAGTCGCGACCCCCCACTCCACCCGAATAACAAAACAGAGGTGTGGTCCAGCTGCCTGGGAGAAGGAGTATCTCTTCTCCACTCCATTCTCCATCTTCCCGACCTTACTCAAGGGTTCAGGGTTTAGCGTTGTGGAGTTCAGCCTAAACCCTACATTAAGCCCTAAAGCCATATAGAGCCCCCGATGGAAGCATTATGATACTATACGGACTAGTATACTAGCTCTACAATATGGAGCCCCCTTATAACAACCCTTACAATAACCCGAAATCCTAAAAGGCGTAACCCCAAACCTCTAAACCCATAAACCCTAAACCCCCAAACCCGAAACCCGAAACCCTAGCTAGTCCATCTAGGAACCCTTAGGCCCTTAAAGATCCCTTTAAGGAACCTCGAAGCAATCCTTCTAAGGAATTCTTAAGATACAAGACCCTAAACCCGACTTTAAGGAACCCTAAACCCTATACTAGACCCTAATCCCGACTTTAGGGAGCCCGAAACCCCACTTTAAGGAGCCGTAAACCCGAAACAAGACCCTAGACCCTACTTGAAGGAACCCTAAACCCTATACTAGACCCTAAACCCCTAAACCCTCTTTACTTTAAGGAGCCGCAAACCCCACTTCATAAGGAGGCCCAGACCCTTCTTTAAAAGGAGGCCTAAGCACTACGGTTTAGGGTTTAGGGTTTAGGGCTTAGGGCTTAGGTTTTAGGGCTTAGGGCTTAGGGTTTAGGGTTTAGGGCTTAAGGCTTAGGGCTTAGGGTTTAGGGCAGCCCTAACTGCCGTCCCAGGCGCCCAATCCACGCCGCAGAGCCGGCGAAGGGCGATGGCCTCCCTGGCCTTCCTCCGCACACGGGCGAGGTGAGTGTTGCTGGCCTGGGCGGTTTAGGGTTTAGGGTTTAGGGTTTCGGGTTTCGGGTTTAGGGTTTAGGGTTTAGGGTGCAACCGAGAAAGGCTTGGGGCTTTGGGTTTAGGGCTTAGGGTTTAGGATGGCTTGGGGTTTCGGGGTTAGGGTTTGAGGATTTAAGGCTTTTGGGCTTTGAGGGTTTAGGGCGTAGGGTTTGAAGGTATAGGGTTTAGGGCTTGGCTTTGAGGGCTTAGGGTTTAGGGTGTAGGGTTTACGGGTGTAAGGGTGAGGGGGTAAGGGCTTCGGTGTTTCGAGGGTTCCTATAAGCGTTCCTGTAAAGGCCGTTTGAGGGTTTGCTTGGGCTTAGGGTTCAGGCTTTGGGGTTCAGGGCGTCTGGAGTTTCGGGCTGAACCGAAAGCATACTGCAGCAGTCCCCCGAACCGCAAACCTTGAGCTCAAAACCCTAAGCCTAATGTAGGAATAGGGTTTTGGGCTCCTTTTCCTATGACTATACCAAGGAAGCCTTAGAATAATATTGGTAATTTTTCAGGCTGACTTCTATAGCGCCGAGAACCTAAACCCTACCCTAAACCCTAAACCCCAAACCCTAAACCCTCTTATGGGAAGCCTGACGAAACCCCTTGTAACAACCCCTTGCCCTTGTAGTACCTCGCCTGCACGGCGATGCCTGCGTTGGCGGCATCCTCGGCTCTCTCGTGGAGTCCCATGTCCAGCAGGGCCTCTGTAACCAAAAAATAGGGTTTGAGTTTAAGGGTTTAGGGGTTTAGGGTTTAGGGGTTTAGGGTTTACGGTCTGAGGTTTCAGGTTAAGGGTTTAGGCTTTGGGGTTTAGGAGACAAGCTGCATTAGTCGTGATCTGTTCCCTCAGCCCCAAACCGACACCTGAGACCCTGCAGCCCTAGGCCCTAAGGCCAATCACTTCAGACACCTGCACCCCTATCGAGCCCTTCTAGAGGAACCCGCAGACAACCCTAGAAAGCCCCATAACAACAATGTTTCCCTAAACTCCAAACCCTACACTCTAAACCACAAACCCCAAACCCCAAACCCTAAAGCCCAAACCCCAAACCCGAAACCCGAACCCTAAACCCTAAACCTTAACCCTAAACCCTAAGCCCCCTAAACCCGAAATGCCCGAACTCCCTAGCACCGCTAGCGACCTAAGCCCTGGATTTTTCATGACACCACAGAG